AATTTTAATGGTCCTCAAATAGATGAAGAAGTATCTGAGACTGCGATTTTGCAAATTTTCGCCCACTGCGACCGGCCCTGGGCGAGTGTGACCTGCATGCTGGTGCGTGCCAAACCATGGGTTAAGCCCTAGCTCTCGGCACGTGTCGCAATCTCACGTGATAGTACATAACAAATGCTGCATAAAGCACAACAACCCAAGCGGCGTCTGGTTGTAGTGTTTTTTCGCAGCCAAAAATCGGACCCTGTCAAACCACTCGTCGTATCATCCTTGGATGATGTTGCCTATTTTGAAATTGCTGGTGGCTTGGCTTTGGTTCTGCTGATGCGGCTCCAGCTCGCTGGTCACCCCAGTGCCATACACATGGATGGGGAGCCCGCGGAAGTTGTCCCAGCTTTGTAGCGTCGTAATCATGTCGTAAAAAGCGTCTTGTGAGGATTGGCTCATTTTGTGGAAGCCAAACTGCTCGTAAAGCGGAATGTCGGGTGACCGGATGTTTCTGAGGTAGTTAGTGTCCAAGGCCAACTCCGAAAACGGGTTGAAGAACGGCACAGTGTGCCCGTTGGTCTGATCGTTGATCGAGGGAGATTTTTTGTTCACAAATCTCGTAATGTCCAGCTCAAGATCCAATCGGAGACTTATTTCAGGAATTCGGCTCAAGAAGCCGTTCACCTGTACGAGCTTCTCCATGGCATTCACAGCGTTGATGTTCTGGTTTTCTGCCATGTACTTGAGCAAAGCGGTGGCCTTGTTGAGGTTCTCGTAGTAAACACCCGCAACAGACGCCATCACAAGAAGAAGCACGGCAGACAATAAATGCTGACTGTCCCAGAAACCCAACACGAAAAGCTTGTTGTACTCGTAGAGTTTGAGAAGAGTCTCAACCGAACGAGCAGAAGAAGCTGCGATAGTGGCTATAGAGTCCATGACCTTTTCCGGCTCGTTGATAAGGGAGCGATTGCCCTTGTTGAGGGTCAACGAAAGCAAAGGCTTTGCGATGAGGATGGTCATCTGGTTGTACCGCAAGAACAAGTTGGCAACGTTTCTGTCAGGCAGCGAGATGATATTTACATGCTTGTAGTGGGAGAGCGTCGGGGTCTCAAACAGGGTCTGCAAGTCGTTGAGGGAGTGGATGATGTTTTTGATGAGGATCTTTTGGTTGAACTGCTCGGTGTTGATGTAGTTCATGGTGAAGGTGCGGATGCTGGGCCCGTAGATCAAGCGGTTGTACTTTGCGATGAACTTGGCCAAGTGGACGTTTGCCTCCAAGATCTCGGTGTTGAAATTGTCGTTGAGGTCCAAGATCGGGCTGTCGTTGGGTAAAGCCACATCGGTGTCGGTGTAGTCGATGTAAGCAGGCATGTTCATTTTGGCAGCCCAGACAACGTCAATGACAAAGATGGACCACCAGAGTCGCTTGGTCTTTTCTTCAAAAATGTGATGCTCACGCCGCTGCTCATCTGACAACAAACGGGGCGTGGCCATTTTGCGGTGGAAGCCGTTAGCCACAGCCGAACGCACAGCCACGCCAAAGTAGTTGTTGACGGTGTTGTAGCGGTTCAAATTACACACGTACAAGCCCAATACCAAGGCGTTTTGGATGAACTGAACCAGCATATCCTCGTGAGCCAAGGAGAAGAGGCGGGCAGCGGTGGAGTAGTATTCGATGCCGGGGAACTTGTGAGGTTCACCCGTAGCAGCGAGAATGGAAGGAGGAAGCAGCTCCAAGGTCATATTCTTCATCTGCTCGCCAAAGGCCAAAAGGCCAAAGAAGTAGCTGAGGGAAAGCAGCGGGATGTGGTCCTGGATCGGGACGGTTTCCAAGTCGGGCACCAGGAAAAACAGGTAGATGCGATTGACCAACGGGTGGAGGGCCTCCAAATCGATGATGTAGAGCTCTCGGGAGTAGGTCAGCAGCACAGCGTTGAGCAACTGCCAGGTGTAGTGTTGATCGGGCAACTGGTGACGACAGAGAAGCAAGAGTTTGAGTGGAACCCTATCGTTCTCAGCATCAGGCAACAAGTACAGCTCAGGCATCGGGGCGGCCAGCCCCTTGGAAGTACGTTTCTGAACCAAAGGCAGCTCAAGCAGCAGGTGTTGTTGGTCCGAGTACAGAGCCTGGCACTTGACCAAGTCCTCCAACATACGAACCTTCTCATGGAGCTTGTTCAAGTCTGACTCCATGATGACGATCTTGCGGTCACGCAGCGGGTACACACACTGCTGCTCCTTGTTGACGGCCTTGCAATTAGCACAAGCAGGCTTCTCTCCCAGGCACTTGATCTTGCTGAGCTTGCAGCGGGTACAAGCATAGTGGGAGCGGCCAAAGACCTTGAGTGGTTTGGGTTTGTCGCTCATGGCGGCTAATATCTCACGGCGGCGCCAGAAGAAGGAAGGTGGTTTTTGCACAGACAGGCCCACTCCGACAAGCCCACAGGCGCTTTTTTCTTCACCTGGTGGTAGTGTACGGTGACGTTGACGCTGAGGGTGGTACGCACCGAACAACAGATCGGGTGCGATTGTCTGGATACCGGGCGGCGGCAGTGCTGTATCCATGGTGGAGGGAGAAAAAACACCAGAACCACTGGCCCTCCAAGACTCCTCTTTATATTTGCGGTGGTCTTGCAAGTTCTGGTTTATTATTTTTCTCCCCATCCCAGCCAGATGAGGCGCCGCTTACGGGCCCCGCGGCACCACGGCATAGAGCTTGCCAAGCGAAGTTGGCCATTGTGCTCGGTGGGTATATCTCACTCCAAGACCGTTTGTTGCAACCGCGCCGTCTGACTCGCTGCACTGTCCTGTCGCACTGGACCCTGAAGCGAAGGCCGGGGGGGGTAAAAGATGGGGGTGGTTGAGCAGGAAAGATTGCAAATTTACAGAAGTTTTTGAATCGAATTTTCATACATTCTCGTATTTTTTGCCCAGGTATGCAAAAATGGAGGCGCCCGCCCGCCGTGTTTGGGTCTGTTGCGAGCTTTGTCGCTGCATGGGCTCGCTTACCAGCCTTCTGCGTCGTGGGCTGATCTAACGCAGACCCTAATTGTCTGCCTCGCCAGCCGATTGTCTGAACTTTAGACAAACGGCGTCACCAAAACAAACACAAGCGGCAATGCCGAGCGCCTCGGCTGCGTGGATTGGAAAGCTCGAAAAGCAAAAAAAAAAAGCAAACTCGCTAGCTCTACAACAACCTCCATAACCAATCTATTACCCATACTTATCAGACAGAAAACACCTCGATGGTAGCGGTGTTCTTGTTCTTGGCCGTAACAACACAGTACGAGGCGCCAAGCGACTTGCCAGTGTCCTTGCCGTTGATGCCATTGTACCCGTCCTTGGAAGGATCAATCTCGCAGTCCAAGCCATTGCACTCGCCATCCGCACAAGTGATACGAATCCCGTACTGCGGCTTGTCCTTGAAGTCATCAATGTACTTGGGGTTCCAACCAATCTTCACAAACGTGTTCCCCGATGAGTCCGTGTTGGCTCCAGCCACGTACGGCGCCCAGTTGCCTTGCGCCTTGTCCTTGCTTCCCCACACACAACCTTCCTCTGTAGACACGCCCAATGGGTTGATGTAGTAGTGGGCTGCCGAGGATGCGTAGTAGTCTTCGTCCGGAACGGCTAAGGTCTGTGTTTTGCCGCCGTCCACGTCCGTGGGGATCAACATGGCCTCATTTCCTGGGAGGACCGTCTGGCAGAAGGCAACGTTCTTGTTGGCCTTGTTGTTCACTTCAACCGTTCCCGTGCCGTTGACACAGAGATCACGGTCGGAAAAGGGTTTTTCGAGCTCTCCGTCGGTGTTGCAGTAGTAACCTCCGTTCATCGAGGATCCAGTGGAGTAGCTCTTGGCAGATTGGTCCCACTGGGCCATCAATTGGCCTGGAGGACAAGCGTAAGGGCAGTAAGAACCGGCGGTACACTTCTGGTCGGGAGAAAGCGCCCAGCCGGCGTTGCTTTTGGAAGGTGTCACCGAAAATAAGCCCTTGCTATCTGGGAACTTGCAAGTGGTCTCCCTCTTGGTGGGTGCTGCGACTGCGAGGGCAGCGAAAAGAATGGTTGCAAATTGCATCTTTGAAAGAACGACTGTGCGAGGGAGCGACTGTTGCAAAGAAGGAAAGACCGTTAGCTATAAGAGAAGGAAGCTAACCAAGAAATTTGTTGAGGAAAGAATTGTGGGATTGTGCCCACCTTTATACCTTTCACCGTTCCCGATGTGGAAGTGTAATGGCACACAGCGCCTACGCCAGACCATCGAAGGTGCCAAACCCGCTGTTCTAGACCAAAGCCCGGTGGCTGTTTGGAACATGTTGCATCTGGAGAAGCTGGGCTAAAACGGGCTGCATCCACGAATGAGATCTCAGAAGTGGCACCCCGGTGCAGAAAAAGGAAAGCAAGTTTCAACCATGTCAAAACCACCTTAGGTGTCTAGACCACCTGCCGGCGCCAATACAGCATCTGGCAGCCTCGGTGTTGCGAAAAATCTGAAAAATTCTGAAAAAAAAAAAAAGCCTTCACCGCCATATCTGCAACACCGTTTGTTTCATCGCACCGCCTTGAGCTCCTATATAGCGACACCTCGCTGAGATGCTCGTTCTAGACTTTTCTCATTAGATCTCCGGCCTTTTCATTTGCCCTTGGCTTTTTTTGTCCTCCACCTACGCCTCCACAATGCTTTGCCCATAGAGATTCTGAAACCTTTGCAGCCAAGGCAGTGCACAGCCTGTGAAAGCTACAGCGTCGGTCTAGCCCGAGCTCTTTGGCCGCTACATTCTCTTTGGATTTTTGCTTCGCCTGGACCTCTACATAGTTTCGCCGGCGAACAATGTGAAAGCTGTTTTGACCTTTCTTTTTTGAAAAAAAAAAACGGTTTGTCTTTTTCACGCTGGGTTTGTCCGACACTTGCCTCATCTTTCCCGATTCGTGCTTATTACGGGCAGCGAAAAATATAAGCCCAACGTCGCTGCCTTCGCCCCATGCACTACCTCCTCATCTACCACTAAATGTCCCTACACCAAACGGTGCAAACCAATTTGGTCCACTATAACAAATGGACGGATGTAGATGCGGTAGTCTGTGGCGAGTCCACTTTCCTTAAAGGAAATCCTCCAGAAAAGCTCGATGAAAGAGATACACCAGGCCAGCCTGAATGGGTGGTTCCTTTGGCAATGGCCGACCAGAACGTATCCACCAGTCAAATCGACAAGTGGTTCTGCAACATAGCCCTGGTAGCCGCCAGGCCCGCTCGCGTAACGTTGGCCTTGGTCAACACCGACGGGACGGTTGTTTTCTACTTTGTGCACGATGGCATTGTCAAGCCCCGGCAAAACTGAAGCCGTTTGTGTCCATGCGAGTTATCTATTAAATGGTTGCTATTGGCGATCTAGACGCCAGGGGTCGTGGGCGTCACCTTCACCGACGCCGTATCGCTGGAGCTGGAATTTGTGGGTGGCCCACCGGTAGACGAGTCTCCCTCTCTGCTGCGCCCACGAAACACAAGCTTGTTTTTGATCACAGACCCTGTGCTTGGTCGTCTGTCTGGATCGCTCGTGCCTGTGCTGCTGCGCGAGATCCGCTGTGCATTTAGCTCGTTCAGCGACGTGTGGAGCCCGCTGATCTCACCGCTTGAATCGCTCTGCTGGTCTATATCGGCAAATAGCTCACTTCGGGTTCCAGATCGTGTGCTGCGGGCCCCTCCGTGCAGACTGCGACGGACGTTGCTGAAGTACGGCAGCAAGAACGTGTCGGTGCCAAAAGACGATCCTCGGCTGATGCCGTACTTAATGGGCGCCTGCAGATCCTCCAGCTCTAAACGGTTGGAGTGGAACAAAAGTTGGAGTTTTTCAAACAAGGTAAGAAATTCCACCATGTCCAGTTCCTTGATCCGGTCTGGCCCGAACTTAAGCTTCTCATATACTTGGATCATGCGACGGACCTCTGGAAGCCTCGAGCGGTCGATCTCGTGCTCCTCGATCAATATCTGTACCATGGAGAGCAAAATCTCCCGGAATGAATAGCAATCTGGAATGTCAAAGTTGGTGAGCGCTACACCGCTGCCCCGGATCTGCATACCCAAACTGTCCAAGATCTCTTCGTAGATGCAATCTGGTGGGAGATGAGTACCTTCATTGTGGAAGCCCATTGAAATGTTTCTCTTTTGAATGTATTCTGGCGGCGACGCTCCCGGAATATTGATGATCTCGTTTTTGTTGTACAAAGGTCCAGCCCTTATTTTGATGTCTCCCACGCAGCGTCGTAGTGTGCCCTCGACATAATGACGAACGTCTGACGGTAGGTCGTGCTTTTCTAGCGGGATGTAGACCGATTTTGAAGGAATTTGATTAAGCATAACTCTGCTTTGGTAAAGTCTCAGGAAGTAAATGACGAGACAGAAGAATAGAAAGAAGGCGCATGCCATGATGACGATGAAGGTCTTAGCCCATGTGGATGGAGCACCCCATGTTTGGACAATGATGTCAAGGGGGGTAACAAGGATAAAACCAAATGTGAGGATCATGAAAATGATCAATGAAATGGAGTAAAGCCATTGGAGGATCCGCTTCGGTAGTCTGGATGCATCTGAGAACCCCGATTCTCGAACAAACCCAGACTTTCTGGGCCGCTCAGACGCTATAGATAGCGTATCTGGGTTCTCGACCGAAGACTCCTTATTGCGATGATGAGATCGCAATCGTAGGGCCATAAATGGTTGTAATGCTGAGGTGTGCCGTTTTGTATGGTGTGATTGTGTGTAAATGAGGGTGTTGATATCAGTCGCACTCTAACTTGCTTGGCTGCGAAATGGGCTATACTACAACGGGAATGTGCTATGGTACACTTCTCATTAATCGTTACTAACTCAGATCCTCGCTACCGTTGGTCTTGCTACTGTTGCTGCGAGCACCCACGCCAGGATACTTACCGTAGTTTTTCTGCGCCGCCGCTTGTGCCCTGCTTTTAGGGTTGGTTGGTGTGGGTGAGGTACCCATCGCTGGGCTTTTTCCTCCTTGCACGTAGGGTGAAGAGGGTTGGCTTTGCATCATAAGCTTCTTGCGCTCTTCGTACTGAAGCTTGGAAAGTTTCTGTGCATCCAACTCCTTTTCGGCCATCCGTTGACGCTGAAGATGCGCTTGTCTGGCCAGACCTAGGTTTTGTTGTACTGAGGAAGACATGGTTGTAGGCGAACGACTAGAGCCCTGCTGAGACTGCTGTTGTTGCTGCAGCTGCTGCAAACGGTTCTGTTGTTGTTGCTGGATGTTTGCGAGGTAGGACGCAGCTAGCTTGGTGACCTGCTCCTTTGTCAAGTTGGGGTTCTTCTGCTGAATAGAATTAATAATGGCAGAGACTTGAGCTGCTGGGAACTGAAGTCCTTTCTTGGTAGGAGTACCTGTTCTCTTGGCCTGAGCCATCGCTGCCTGCGATGAAGCAGAAGTACCAGCTCCACTAGCAACACCCACGCCGGCTTGGCCTGCAAAGTTCTGACCAGTCCCTTGTTGAGTAGGATGGAAACCCTGGACTCTTCTGCCTTGAGCAGAGGTGCCCTGGAGGTTGGCCATGTTGGTGGGTCCAGATCCTGCGACACTGCCACCAGCCTGGTTCTGCTGTTGCATCAATCTTCTCTGCTTTTGAAGCTGGACGAGCTGCTGAAGCTGCTCCTTCGTGTAAGGTGTACCATTTGGCGTTGTTGGTCTCTTCATGTTGTTGATGAGAGCGGCCTGCTGGCCCTGCTGAAGCTGCGAGCCAGGTCCAACAGTCTGTGGTCTCAGCAAAGTGGCAGCGTTTCCAGCCATATTACCCTGACCCCTCTGCATGCCATGTAATTGGGAAGGAGCATGAGAAACACGACGCTGAGGAACTCCAGCGGCTGCGGCCACAGCGGCATTGTGAGCCTGGTCACGTTGCTGTGGGTTGGCCTTCTGAGCCAATCCTTGTTGCTGGACAGCAGGCGATGATCCTTGCGAAGCCTTTTGCAGCTGGGAGACAGCGTTGAGCATACGGGCCCTCGTAGCCTCCTGGGTTCTGTGCGTCTCCTGGGTGGCTCTGTCTCTGTCGAACTTGAGATCCAGAAGCTCTGCTGGAGAGAGTGTATCATCACTTGAGCGACCTCCATTTGCAACACCACTGTTCTGTACGCTGTAGTCGTTCGAGTTGCTGGCAGGTCTACGTGGGTTGGCTTTGGCGAGCGCTTGTTCACGCTTGCGCATAGTCTTTCTCATGGCATCAAACATCGATGCCCATCTCAACTTTCTGTGGCCTCTCTGTATCGATTCATTTCCCACGCCAAGCGGAGAGATTCTTCTCTTGGTAGTCAGTTGAGCCTTATGGGCGTGCTCGAGCCACTGCTGTGCGGGATATGCATTGATTCCTTTCATGTCTGAGAATTGGAATTTTTCGTTGAGCTGAATATATCTCTCAAAACATTGCCATGGGGTTCTTCTCTCGATATTGGACTCGTATCTCTTCAAAGTCGCCGAATGAGACGCTAGGTTAGCAGCAATAAGATCCCAGTTGAAGCAGTACTCCGCGACGTAATGAATAAGGTACATATCGTCTTGTGGAAGCCAAATAGTTGGGGATCTGTACTCGATGTTCCTGACAAGAGGTGGTTTTGGAGGACGCAAGAAGTTAAAGCGGCGATGTGGTTGGTTTCCGAAAAGGCCCTTTTGGTATTCTGGTGGGCCTGGGATTTTAGAGCTACCAACTTCTGAGCCCTTGCTGTCCTTCAAAATGATCTTAAACCAGCCATCTTCTTCGTCAGTGGGGTATAGCATCCTTGACACCGGCATGATAGAATTCTCATTCAGTTGACCAGGAACGTGAGACTGTTCCGTACCATCGAAAGCACTATATCTAGGTAAGTTTTGAACAATCGATTGATCGATCTTTCTGAGGTCAGCGATGTTTGCGTGGGTCTTGAGCATGCTGTTGTCCACAGCAGAGATGTCAGCTTCCTCGAGCTCCTCCAAACTGAAGCTCGGGAGATCGGGCGTTGGAATTTCTGTGGCTGGATCGGGCCTTTTCAAGAGCTCGCTTATGTCGATGGTTTCACAATCAGCCGGGTCCTCCCGCATACCATCGAACTTCTCGGGCGTTGCGGGTTCATTAGTCTCTTGCTCCTCTTCATCAGCCGTGTCCTTCGCTGCATCAACTTCTTCCATAATCTGATCAACATCTCCCGCACTCGCGATAGCTTTATCATCTAGATGCTGAATTGGAGCTCGCTTGATGCACATTACCTTGCCGTAGGACCAGTAGTCACGAATGCCTTGCGCAATTGTGAAACAGCATGCCTTCTTGAATTTCGTTGATTCCTTGAAGTCAGCAGACAACCATTTACCCTCGTCTAGTAGGACGTCCCAGGTGTGCGATTTGGACTTTCTGTTCTTCTTCGAATATATGTATGGGTCGTAGTACCTGATGGGCTGCCTTAGCGACCACTTCTTCTGTCTTTTAAGCTCTTCTATACGGGAGTACAAGACTGCGATCTTTCCTTCGAGAAGAGCCAGCTCGAAGTTGTCTGTCATGAGTGTCTTGTGGGATCCTGGAAGGAGCTTGATAAGTGGAAGCGTTTGGGTCAAGTAATAAAGCTCAGCTAGCGACGATACAGCATGGACCTCTGATGGGAAGTTTTCAGGAACCAGGAGCACATCTAAGTCCAGGATATCCTTATTAAGGAACTCGTTCGTCTGCTCGTCAAGAGCCTCGACTTGAGTTTTGAGGGACGCAACTTGCAGCTTCTTCTTTTTCAGCTTATTATCTGCTGGCATTAATCGGCTAGGGTAGTCTGTGAGGCTAGTCTTTCGACTTTTCAAGGGCCGTTCTAGCTCGGCTGTTTCTGCCTCTCTTTTGAGGTGTTCAGGTTGAAAAAGTTCACTCTGCAAAGCGAGCTCCAACTGACTCTTCAACGACTCCTTATCAGTAACATAGGGAAGAAAGCTGATCAGCAAGGGTTCATTCTTTGATACATCGTTGGCGTTGTAGAAGTCGTGAGCGACTTGTGAGGTATTCCTTGCTTTGAAAGCTTCTAGCGATTGTAACGGGTTGGAAAAAAGATAGAGAAGCTCCCTGAGCTTTCGAGACCTTGCACTTTCTATTTTCAGGCGTTCCGTAGCCATATTATGCTGGTTTTCAGTGCTGGATTCTCGTCGGTTAAGGTGTTTATACTAATATGGGTCCGGCCAAAAGTGTGAAAGTCACGTGTTGGTCAGGTGGAAGTCGTGTGACTTTGCATCGAGTTGCAGCCAAAGCCAAAAACATCTACAATCTAATTAATATTAAAATAATATTATGAGGGGTCCGATGGCTTCATGGAACGTCGTAACAGAACCATGCATCACCAAGCCCTGATGCTATCAAAGTAGTGTACATGCGAGTCGAGAGTCCCACCATGAACCGGGTGGGGACCTCAAGAACAACGAATATGCCGAATGCTATTACAACTCAGAGTTGTCCAAGAAAAAGTAGTTGCCAGCAGCCTTCTGCTCCTTGTCCATCTGAGAGTCTCTCTTGTTGATTCTTGGTCTGAAGGAGTTTGGATCTCTTCTGAAAGTGACACTCAAGTTCTTCAAGAATCTGTTACAACCAGTCAACAAGGACTCAGGAGCCTTGGCGAGGGCATTCTTCGATGGAGTACCCTCGAACACAATCACTCTGTCGGCCAAGTAGGTGGCCATCATGAAATCGTGCTCGACGATGAATGCAGTCTTCTTAGCATGCAAAATGAATCTTCTGATAACCTTGGAACAAACGATACGCTGCTCGGAATCCAAGTATGCAGATGGCTCATCAATCAAGTAAATGTCAGCGGGGATACCGAGAGCCAACACAATGGCAACTCTCTGCAACTCACCACCGGACAAAGTCTGGACTTCCTGATCGATAATGTTGTCGATTTTAAGTGGCTTCACCACGTCGGTCTGGAACTGTGGGTTCAAGAAGGCGGCCTTGATCTTCTTGAAGAACAACTGTCTGACAGTACCAGGGAATTTTGGAGCGATCTTCTGGGGCTTCATGGAGATGTTCAACTTAGGAACCTCGACACCGTTGTCGGCAGCCAAAGCACCAGCCAACATCTTACAGAAAGTAGTCTTACCGGTACCGTTCTCACCGAACATGACCAAGATTTCAGAGTTGGTGAATTCACCCTCCTCGACCTTCAAGTGGAAATCACCCTGGGTCTTCTCCAAGGTTGGGTATTGCATGGCAGAAGAGTGATCCAAGATCAAACCATCGGCAGCATCGGCCAACTTAAACTGCAAAGTGTCTTCTCTGAATCTCATGTTCTCGGTTGGAAGGAAACCGTCCAAGAAGATGTTGATACCTTCTCTAACGGAAGCTGGGAAAGTAACCACACCGTAAACGGATGGAGCACCATACAAGATACAGACATAGTCCGACAAGTAATCCAAAACAGACAAGTCGTGCTCCACACAGATAACGTAGACAGATGGGTCCAAAAGGGAACGGATCAACTCGGCAGCTCTCAATCTCTGCTTGACATCCAAATACGAAGATGGCTCATCGAACATGTAGACGTTAGCATCCTGAACGCAGGTCATCGCAAGAGCGAATCTCTGCAACTCACCACCAGACAACTGAGCAACGTCTCTCTTCATGACAGGGTCCAACTCCAAAAGTCTCATGATGTAGTCCCAAGAGCCTTGTCTGGCACACTTGGCTTTCAAAATACCGGCCACATCCTTCACTGGAGACTTGGCAAGAGCTCTAGGGATGTTATCGACGTACTGGGGCTTGATGATAGCCTTGATGTCGTCCTCCAACACCTTGGTGAAGAAGTTCTGCAACTCAGAACCTCTGAAGTACTTCAAGATCTCTTCCCAGTCTGGAGGGTCATCGTATCTACCCAAGTTGGGCTTTTGTTTACCGGCCAAGATCTTCAAGGCAGTGGACTTACCGATACCGTTGGTACCGACCAAACCCAACACCTCACCAGGCTTTGGTGTAGGCAATCTGTGCAACTTGAACGAGTTGGCAGAGTATCTGTGGGTGGTCTCGGCCTCCAAGTTTGTTGGCAAATTGATAATGGTGATGGCATCAAAGGGACATTTCTTCACACAGATACCACAACCGATACACAAGGTCTCGGAGATGAAGGCGATCTTGGAAGCTGGGGTGACCTCGATACACAATTTACCAGTCTTCACCACGGGACAAGACTTACGGCATTCCTGTCTGCACTTCTTGGGCTTGCACTTATCGGTGCTGACGATGGCAATTCTCTGGCCCTTGGACGACACGGCGTTCTTTTTGGCACCTTTTCCACTCATGCTTGCTGAAAACTGAAAGTGTCGTTAGCTGCTTTTCTCGCTTCTGCTTTTTTTTTTTCTTTGATGAGCCTGCAGACAGGCGTTTCGTTTTTTTGTGGTAGTCTCATTGCAAGCGCGCCCTGAGTGCTCGAATTTACTTGAGCTGAGCCTCGCAGTTAAATCGAGTACATTACTAAATCGCGGCCATCAATTGGCTGCAAACAGCGTCTCGAAGGGTCTGCCAGGGCCTTTTCAAAACACGTACTTTCTGGTTTTATGGGGCTTTTGGGGTTATAAAGGGGGAGTTTAATAAGATGAAATTGATTTTAAGGAATTTTTTTGGCCGATTTGAATTTTTGCTGTTGGCCGTGGTGAGCTGATGTCTGCTGGGATATAGTAGTGTTCAGATATATCATTCTAGGTGATTTTGGAACTTGGGGATTTGGCATTTCATGAAAGCCCTTGGAGGGTATGAAGAGCAATGATTTGAGCCTGATAGTAGTTTTTGAACATAATTTTCTCTAGAAGTGGAGGAGGATGGGTGTAATTATAAGTGTCTCAACTACCATTTCGTTCACACATCGTTTTAAAAGGTGGTTGAATCTGAAATCAAAAATTACCAAGGCACTTTTGTGATTTTTATAAATCCTTTGTGAAGCTCCGGAATCCACTATTCGAGTCTTGCTCTCTAACTTTCTATTGAGTGAGGTAACCTCTCGATCAACTTGACCTCTAAATGGGACCCCTAGTCCATTATTTTTACAATTATCAAATTAAAAGGCTTCAAATGCCAGATTTGTTGGCTCCCTGTAGCTTTTGTTAGACTTTACTTGAAATTCGAGTTTTGCAACATCTGTTACTTTTTGCACATTCTAATCTATGGCTATAATACTTTGCAAATTCAGAAACACTGGATAAAAGATCAGACTGCAATACCGGTCAAAATTCGGGATTGCATTGGAAACATCGGAAAGTTTCAAATTCACTTCTTGGATTCTGGGCAGACCCTTTAAGTGGCTAAAATAACGATCAATGCTACTGAGATCCATATCATAGAATGTATCAGAGATGAAAGGGGAGGGAGATGTCAAAATGCCGAAAGCTATTAAAACTTATCTCCAATATCAAAATAGCCACTCTGAAACACTCTACTTATTTAGTCAGCCACAAATCTGCCAAAAGAGCTACGGTATGATACTTCACCGAACGCTCGGTCATATAGCACATCATTCTATGACCCAACATACTTGACCCGACAAGCATCTCCAATCCCGATTGTATAGCCTGACATAATTTAAAACCCTCCACACCAAAGGAAACTTCAAAAATTACCAATACAGAGCAAAGTGACCCTGGTTCTATCTGTTTTCGCAGCCATGACTACAAAAGCATCTCATGACCTTCATCCATCTCTACAACAAACACTACCTACCAAATTTAGAACTTCTTCATGCAAATGAGCCAAGTCGGGCTTGTCCCTCCTAATATTTTTATTTGGGTCCCTTTCATTCTTTCCAAGCTAGAGCCAAGCGTCCTGCGTAGGGAGCCCCGGGTCGTGTCCGCATCAAAACAGAGTCGTGGCCGTTTTCCCCCTCTTTTCCGACCACTCCTTTATTTCTCTTTTCCCTACTAATCTTCTCTCCACACATTAGCGAGTACACCTCAAATTGCATTGAAAATGTGCATAAGCTAAACCGTGAAACCAGAAGAATAGTCTGAACAGACCACTGAAAGCTCTGCTGAGTGGATTCACTGAATCCTGGTCATTGCTGCATCTATAAGTGATGAAGGCAGTTCGAACCTGGGGTAGACCTGATCGGCTTCACAAGTTGTCAGTCCGAGAAGACTAGATCATCTATTATTACGCCATAGCTGATCCGTGCGATGCTCTAGTCAATCAAGGCGAAGGCTTCAGCTCTTTAGCAGCCCAGAAGGTACTGAGCCATACACCAGGAAATCAGATCATGTCATTGAAGAGCTACGATTTGTAGTCTTCGAATATTAATCTCGGAGAATGGCTGCTAAGGAGGTTCTCAACTGAGCTGCTTCACAAGATAGCGACTCTATATGAGACCAAATGATCTGATCATGCATGTCCCACAATGACGCATGGTCTGGATGAGCCATCTGGAGAATACCAGATACTGTCAGGTTCGCTCATTTATCTGGATTCAGCATAGAGCGCTATACCTGCTCAGAAGTAGATGGTTACCGTGACCCACTTCTCCCTAAGTGGACGCGTCACAGACGTGATTGTCATGCGGTGGAAAACTTGTCGGTGAGCTCAATGCTGTCGAGTTGTCATCTATGGCTCTTCCAACCCTCAGAATCCTCGCATTCCACTCGCAAACAGAGTATAGCCACATGGCCAAGGCCAGAAACCACGCAAATGTGGTTGGCAAAATGCAAAATTCAATATATAGTAAATTCGGAACATTTCCTGTCATTGATTGCCCCAAATCACTCGTAGTCATCCCCACAGCCCACTCCGTATGATCCTTCACGAAATCCCGAATTGGGGAGTTGTCGTCGTCGCAGTAAAATTGCCCAATTTTTTTCCAAGCACCACCTCTCTCTTCCACCACACGAGCTCCACAAGACCATAATCCCAACCCACTGGGAAAAATTCAATTTCTTACAGTCTTCAAAAAAGCTAGTCTAAATCATCTAGCTAGTTCGAAGCCAATAAAAAGTGGTGAATAGACCTTGTCATAGACAAGCTCCCGGATACCATAATAGACCAAGGGTCTACGTTAATCTATAGCTGGAAGACCCCAAACCCCATTCAGACCCCCAAGTCTTATCCCTTAACTTAATTTATAAAGATGGTCAAGCTCCCGGACGAGATC